TATCAAGTTAAGCACTTGTTAAATCGTAAAAATTTATCCGCATCAGGTATTTTTACTTAGAGTAAGGTGAAGCTAGTATATGATTGCAAGTTCGACATAATTTATTAAATTTGACGTAGATTATGTTGTTATATTTGAAAAAAAAAATCACTTATTATGTATATAAATAATTTATCGAGAATTTAATTTTATATCAAATCAATAAATGCATGCAGCATGACAGAGACATGACATGTGTTTGTATATTTATATTTATCACTATTTATGGTTAATTGTTTTTATAGAAATTATTTAACCACAATTGAATTATTGATGTAAATATTTTGTGTAAAAATATGTTCATCCTTGTGAAATTAAACTTCAACTTGTGTATATTAAAAAAACTAGAAAATTGGAAATTTTCTTCATCAAATGTTTGAAGATATTTCATGCATCTAAGAGATAAGATAACAATTCAAAAACAAAACAAATGGATGTGTGATAGCAAAAAGCTAAAATTGAGAATAAATATAATCATTATGGTGAAAATGACTTATTTGTCTAATATTTTATTTTTAATTTTTTTAAAAAAAATTATTACATACAAAAAAGCAAAAAAATAAAAAAGTTTTGGTTTTTAGTGAATTTTTCTTCTTAAATCTACTAGAAATTATTGTTGAATTAAAATTATGTTCTTTATTGCTTTCATCTACATATAAATAAAGTATATAACCTTGCTTTAAAAATACTTTAATTTTGGCCAATCTCAACTAATGATACATAAAATAAAAAATACATCCTAATATATCATATACATAACAAGGGAAATATTTACCAACATATATGTAGAGTCGATTTTTTTGATTTTATTGCCACAAAATGAAAAAAAAATTATCCTAATGTCCCATAAAAAGGTGGCAAGTGCAACAAGGTAATTGGTACAACACAAGTATACAATAAAAGAAAATATTGGAACTTAGTCAAAGAGCAATAAATCATGTGTACACACCACTATAGACTATTATCGAATAATCAAATATTTCGAATTCGAGCCGTCGAAATAGTATTGTCTTTAATTAGGAGTGAAGCTAATAATTAAAGCGTTATAAAGAGTTTCTTCAAACTTTTTATTGAGAAAATTACATCATACATACAAAAACTATATACATACAAAGTTTAAATACTTTTTTCTACGTATATATAATCATAAATATATTTTTATTTCTCTGTGTATTTACTTCTCAATATTTTAACTCATTTAAAAAAAATATTAACTCACGACTGTCTTATATAGGAAGCACTTCAATTTTAAGAAATAGCAAGCTCGATACAAATTTGATTAATTAAATTTCAGAACAAATAAGATATATTCTCTTTAAAAGAAATTATAAAGACCCAAGATAGAGACTTTTACCACATAAAATCACTATAAATCTTTTGGATTGCTACAAGGAAACATGTATTCTTTTAGCCATTTGACAAATTATCTACATACAGTATAGTATTAAGTGTTTCTTTATTTTTAATTAAAAAATTTTAAATTTAAACTTTAAAAATGTCATCACCTTTAATAGAAAATATTTTTTCTTTAATTAAAATTGTTTTTTAATACGATCAATCGGATTTCAAAATGAATATTAAATATCAGATATAAAGCTAGAAAAAAAATCATAAAGCCTTGAGATAGAGACTTTTAACTCATAAAATCAACAAGAATCTTTGAGATTATTATTATTATAAAAAGAAATATGTCAACCTTTTAGTTATTGGACAAATTGTCTACTCAAATGTGAAAAAAGAAAATGAAAGATTATGACTAGCTCACCTATAATAAGGATGTTAGTAGCTTTCATATTTAATAATATAACTAATAACAAATGGAAATTAAATAGTGATAAACAAAAAGTATCGCTAAATCAGTAATTATTTTTTAAAATATATTAATTTATGTAATTTTTTCAAAATTATTTGAAAGAAAACAATTGCAAGTTCAAGTTCAAAACATTCAAACTAGTAACGAATTTTTCTCATGTTTCACCCGTAAAAGCAACAAACATATTTTTCATGAATCAAACACATGAAAATTACTTTTTGATAATAAATAGTGACGAGATTCGAATATAAAATTTTATCTGCTTTAATACATGTTGAAATGTGTGATTAACTGATTATCTCATCTAAAAACTCAAGATATTAAAAATAACACAAGTTTATTTACTTAATTATATTTGTCACACAAATGCATACTTAAACACCAATATAGAACCACCAACGATAATGCCCCTTCATTTTAAACGAGTAGTTTTAAGTTCAAACTCTAAATATATATATTATAAAAATAAAAAAAACTCTTAAATGGGTCCAACATGTCACAATTCAAAATTCTAATATAAATACAAAATATCGATAAAAAAATAAATATATGAGCTTTTCATGCTTCTTCAAAGGCCAATTATACCTAAAAGTCATATCAATTTGATAAATTATCCTCCAATTTTATAATATCTTACATGATTAATATGGACAAAGATTTCTTAATCACACAATTTTTTTGAGAAAAAAGATATGTAAATTAGGAGGAGATTAAGGAAATCTAATCCTTAATTAGCACGTGGAACAAGCATAACTTACCAAAAAATATAAAATAATTTTATGCTTTCACGGATTAAAATTAATTAGGGACCACTAATTTAATTATAATATTTAGGACCCAATTTTAGATATTTAATTCCCCAAAGTTAAGATATTTTCAGGTAGGTAGTAAGGTTATATTTGGAGTTTTTGGACTATTTTAAGTTTGGGAAAAAAAATGTCTAATTTACATCTTTACTTTTAAAATAATTATACTTCTCTTTTTAATCAAAATTATAAATGTATCTCAAACATAAACAAATTTTCTTACTTCTAATTTTAATTATCCTATTTTACTTCATAAACCTATAGAATCATGAGTTATTGATGGGAAAATCTAGCATCGCAAAATATGAATTATTCGATAAAATTTAATAATTTTAATTTAAAATATATATTGCAGAGTTTATCAAAATTTATAATATCATAAACTTTTGATTCATAAATTTCAAATTCTACATTCGTCTCTGTCAAGATCTGTAATTCACGAGCAAATTTTGAACGAAATTATTTCAGACTTATTTGTTTTGAGTCAAGTCCGTCACAAATCTCAAAGCTATAATAAAAATATAGGAAATCAATTTGCAAATAAACAAAAATAGTAAAATTGTCATCATGACATCATTATATCATCTTCATCCGTGATCAAGTTTAATTAGTTTTAAAATATTTTAATAAATATAGCGTGATATTAATTACTTTGGATGTTTTTCTAGATTTAAAAATATCATAGTGTGTATATATCTTCAGATCCTTCTAATTCTTTCTTTCTTCTTTTTTTTTTCAAATATTAATTAATACAAAATTTTATTCGTACGATTAACATTTTAACTCATAATATAAGAAATTATTATTCATCCAAAACAACTTTTTTGATATTAGATTTTTATATTTTAAAGCTTAAGAGAGTACATCCAAATAAAGAAAAAAATAACAGAAATTACTTGGAAAATTCCTGGCATCTTCATTTGATTAAACAATTACATCATCATTACTTGACCATAATCTTAAAAAGTAAAAAATATTAAAAATATTATAGTAATTTTTATAATAAGGTGGCAAATTTTGAACTTTCTTAGAGCTTTCTTCAACAAATATCCACCTAAATTTCAATCAAGATCTTAATACACTGAAAATATTTTGACCAATAGCTCACCAACCCATTTATTTATTCATTAATATTTTCAACCTAAATCTATTTTTTTCTATAATAAATTTGTTTATTCACGTGATACCCCACTCACCTTTTTCAAAACGATTATATCCAGATCACCTTGCGTTTTTTCAAGTTCAGAATAAACCTAGCTAGCATATTAATTTTGATTTATCTATTCAATTATCTTTTCAACCTAAATTCATTTTTTATAACAACTTTGTTAATACACATGGAAACCTCACTCCCTTTTTCGATAGTATCCAACTCACCTTGCGATAATTTAAGTCAAGAATAGACCTAATATATTAATTTCGTTCAAAAGCAATAAAATTAATTTCGATTTTATATCATCTAAAAATTATTGAACTAATATAAAAAATAGATCTCGAAATTTGTAAATCAAGTGGATGTGGTAGAAATTCGAAACTCAAACATGTGACTTAACATCAACTTGTAGATTTTGCACATGCATCACTTTAAATATAATGTTCGACTAAATATCTATATCTTTGCTATCTCCGATCATCACAAGTATTGAATAATCGGATCAAAGTTTATCGCTCAACAATCAAGACTTTGCACCATATTTTAAGCGAGCGAGGTAAAAATATCAACCCTAAACTCCTTTGTTGATAATAAATTTCCAATTCTCTTGCTTCATCACTACAATCACATGACCTAAACTTCAACATGTTCTCCTTAAGAAAATAGTCATTAACTTGATAACCCTAAAATTATCCTAACAAAAACGACTCGAGTGAAATAACTTCTCTACCTTCACAAAGTAGAGGTAAGGCTTGCATACATACCACCGTCCCAAGTTCTAACATGTTGGATTACACTGAGTGTATTGTTACCGTAAAAATGACTCAAGCCTATCCCTTTCACCTTTTGGCAAAAGATAACCTTTTTTTTTTATCCTTTAGATAAATCAAATTCAATAAATACCACATGTCCACAACTATCAAAAGACATGGGCAAGAAAAAACAAATCAAATTCATCAAAATGGTCCTCAAAAACTGCAGGTACAGTTAGCCAGTTGTAAATGATCCCACAAAAATCTTTTATGGTAGATTTTCACTTGCCAGTTATGCAAGAAGATTGCTTCCACCACGTCAACGTGACACTCTACCTCTGAGTTATATCCCTTCCCCGCCTCATCGAGAAGAATGACTGACCAATCCTAAGTAAAAGAGTCAGACAAACTCAACGCCACTATTCGAATTCGGAATCTCCAAATTGTCACTTTCATGTGATTGACACAAGAATGACACTTTCACATACATAAAACAACTGAAGAAAGATTATAAAGTAGAAAAGACACAATCAGATGTCATGTGTCTTAAACATAGATTTACAAGTAGAAGGTCCAGTTTATATGATCCAAATCTCCACAAACTAAATTATAACCAAGATGATATTGGTAGCACACAATATCATTTTTACAATGGCTAGGAGAACCTGCATAGTCTCAAGGAAGACGTAACCGATATGTAATTTGCTGAATACAATCAAAGTTTCCAACTTCAAAAGTTAGTCCTGCTTGGAATCATCCACTCCAACTGCCTTAGGTACAGGATGGGGGGCGCCAGGACTTGGTTCTTCTCCGGAAACCTGTTAGACACAATGTGTTTTGTTATACTGAGATATTGATTAACGCAATAAATAAGATGGACGAAAGGATATAACGTTAGTTCAAATGGCACAAATACGAGGATTGATCTAGTTTAGAAGCTCAAACTACATGTACTGCAATAATCTGTTAGCAAATGGAAAATTTAAAAGATGTCACGGAAAATTATACCATTAACCAGGATTCCAAAATAGTATCCTTCTTTTTATTTCCATAATTTAGTGACAATGTATGGGTATAGGTTCAGATAGCTCTGAAGGTTCATTAACGTCAAATAGTTAAGAAAACAGAAGTGAAGGAGCGATATTTGAGTTTTTGACTAGCATACAATACATAGTAAAGGCATATCTAGAAACTCAGCTAGCTTTGCCTATAGACATCATAAACAGACTATTTTCCATAAACTTGAATACAGATTTGAACAAATATATTCTCTTCTATCATAATTTTTTTGACAGAGGTAACTGTTATTCTCTTTTATCATATTTATGAAAAGCTTTAACAAGTAGTGAAGACTCAGTCATTCCTCACTTGATATCATATGCTCATAACACCTTGAAATAAAACAGCTTTAGGCATAAAGAAGTGCCAATCTGCATATTTTGATTTTCTTATGCTCAATTATGCAATGAACATACACTACTACTAGTTGTCTCAAAACCCCCAAGAAAAAGTAATGTCTAGATAGAATAAGGTATAACATATGATAATTTGTAGCAAGAAGACAAGAACAAAGCTGATGAAATTTGTTTTTCTTTTTGATGACCTAGAAACCAGTTCAACTTTGATCCATCTAAATACTAGACTTGGTTCAATATATAGATTTCAAACTTGTATGTGTGCCTACCAAACATCTCGTAGGGTATTACCTCCTGATGTTGAAAAGCAATAGGGGTAATGCAACAACTGTAGTTCCGAACAGAAACTTTTCTAGAGGTGCATGATATCGTGGTCAAGGTGAACTGTTGTAGTAGAGCAAGCAGAGAATACTAATGGAAAATAAACAATGCACAGTCTCAGCCTTATCCCTTGAGATTGGGAAGGTCAATGGTAGCTAGCTTGTGACAGATTTATCAGCTCTACATAAGCTTAGTATTTCCTGCAACAAAACTCCAGTCGGTTTTGTTGAACGTTACAATATGAATTTGGGAAAGAAAATTTGAAGTCAGGGAATTAAATCCATAAATAAACAGGGGAAAGAAGATCTAAACTTTAACAAGTGTAGGGAACAAACTTGAAAGTGTGAAATGTGAACGAAACACGAAAGGATCATTGCAGTGGATAGTCTCAAATGAAAAAATGAGGAAGTTATTTTTCATTTCGATCCACAATTTTTTTTTTAAAAAAGAGAGGGCAACCCGGTTTACTAAGCTCACGCAATGCACGGGAACCACAACTGAACAGGAGCAGAAAAAGTTAAGGTCTAACATGTCCCGGAGGACGTGAACCAAAATGCAGGATTGTTTAAGTTTTCGGTGAACAAGGTAGTTCTACACTGTCTCCTCGAGAGAAATATCTCGACCACATTGAGGGTCATATCTACAGCTTAGTTTTATAAGAACTGAACCCTTAAACCTCATCAACGTATTACCAAGTACTGTGCAAAAGCTTAAACTCAAATAATAGATCATTGGAGAAGAGTGTTTCCATTTGAACCTCGGGCAAACAGGAAATTTTTGATAGAAAATTTTCAGCATTCTTTTAAGAGCTGATTGGATAAGAAACAAGTCAACAACAACCCAGTTTTTCTTTCCAAATATATATCGTGTTTCTTATTTTTGTCTACCATTAAAATGAGAGAAATGAAACAAAAAGTATACTCAAGAACCTCAACTGTGAACAAAAACTATGATTGAAGTTAAGTTCTTTTGGTGCTTTCTTTATTGTGGGTTAAACTTTTCATTCAACATTGTACTTTGGTTTCATGTACTCAATATCATGAATATCTGGAAGAAAAGAATAAACCACAATCACCTAAATCCCCCAAGTTTTAGCATCATGTGCATCAGAATGTCCTCAAAGATTCAGCATATTGCTTTTCCAACCCATACTTCACACATTTACATTCGTCTTCAGAAAAATTCAACGTTCTAAATGCTATCATCAAAAATAGTAAAACACCATCGGGGTATTCAGACAATCATATGCACTATAAGCTGGTGCTTCCCCAAATTAAAAAGCATTACAGGCACAACGAGGTCATTAACTTCAAAGAAAACAACTCTTTCCTGAAGAAAGCTAAACGATATTGCATTTCCTATATCCAAATTTCAAACAACTTGTTCACCACAAATCCAAGCAAAAGATACATTCAACCACCCAAAACACACACATACACATTTATACCAATCAACTAGCATCAATACAATTTGTTTGAAAGGATCCACGTGTGGGCACCAATGAATTTCAATCAGACACTCTGAGCAGCTTATTCAGGTATGCACGCGTATACATATACACACACAGGCAACAGCGAATTTCAATCAAACATTCCAACCAAGATCATCTAGTTCATATATTTCGCAACAAGAACAAACTTTTCAAGCAAGCCAACAAGTTGTGAAACAAAAATAGAGGCGGAGCAAGGATTTGAACTTTATGGGTTAGGGATTCTAAGAAATGGCCCAAGTGTTTGTAACTCGGTTCTGAATTTTTAATTTTGTACATATTTGATAATTTTTTAACACAAATACCGAGTTTAGAACAAAGCTATTGGGCTTTACCAAACCTAGCTATTATATACTACCACTTATAGAAGCCCTAATAATCAAACTACTTACACAATTATTGGGTTTTAGTAGCTTACAAATCTTTCAAGCAAGTCAACACTTTGAAACAAAACTCACACTTTACAATCAAAAAACTTAATAACATTATTGGGTTAGTAGCTCACATGTTTTTCAACTCAACACGTCTATACGAAAAATCACACCTTTGCAATCAAACAACTTACAGAATTATTGGGTTAGTAGCTTACAAGTTTTGCGAGCAAGTGAGCACTTCGAAACAAAGATCACGCCTTCACAATCAAACGCCTTACAGAATTATTGGGTTAGTAGCTCACAAGTTTTTCAAGCAGGTCAACACTTTAAAAAAATCACACCTTCACAATCAAACAACTTACAGAAATATTGGGTTATTAGATTACAAGATTTTCAAGCAAGTCAAAACTTTGAAACAAAAGATCATGTCTTTACAATCAAACAACTTACAGAATTATCCAGTTATTAGCTTACAAGTTTTTCAATCAAGTCAACACTTCAAAACAAAGATCACACCTTGAAACAACCTCTCTATACCTATCAAGGTAGGCGTAAGGTGTACACTCTACCATTTACACCCCCCCACTTGTGTGATCACACATTTGTTGTAGTTATTGTTCATCAACACTTTGAAACAAAAGATCACACCTTTACAATCAAACAACTTACATAATTTTTGGGTTTAGTAGCTCGCAAATTTTATAAGCAAATCAACACATCTAAGCAAAAGATCACACCTTTATAATCTAACGAACTCACAAAATTATTAAGTTTATAGTAGCTCCCAAGTTTTCAAGCAAATCAACACATCTAAGCAAAAGATCACACCTTTACAATCAAATAACTTACAAAAATTATTGGATTTAGCATCTTCCAATTTTCAAACAAGTCAAACACATCCAACCAAAAGATCAACAACAGAACAACAACATACCCCGTGTCGTCCCACAAAGTGAGCTCTCGGGAGAGTAAAATATCCACAAACCTTACACCCTACCTCATAGGTAACGAGACTATTTCCAATAGACCCTCAACTCAACACATCTAAGCAAAAGATCACACCTTTATAATCTAAAACAAACTTACAGAGTTATTAAGTTTATAGTACCTCCAAAGTTTTTCAAGCAAATCAACACATCTAAGCAAAAGATCACACCTTTACAATCAAACAACTTACAAAATCATCGGATTTAGCATCTTCCAATTTTTTCAAGCAAGTCAAACACATCCAACCAAAAGATCAACAACAACAACAACATACCCCGTATCGTCCCACAAAGTGAGCTCTCGGGAGGGTAAAATGTCCACAAACCTTACCCCCTACCTCAAAGGTAACGAAACTATTTCCAATATACCCTCAGCTCAATACATCTAAGCAAAAGATCACGCCTTTATAATGAAAAAAAAAAAATTAACCCCCTACCTTAAAGTTAACGAGACTATTTCCAATGTTTCCAATAGACCCTCGGCTCAACCCATCTAAGCAAAAGATCACACCTTTATAATCGAAAAAAAAAACTTACAGAATTATTGGGTTTAGTAGCTGATGGTTTAAAAGGACAAGCAGGAGGTGCGCTTTCTGGTTTCTGATACTCCTTCCCACACATTCTATAAACTTTCGCCTATAAAATCCCAAAAAAAAAACACAAATTAACACTATAAACATCAAAATTAACCAATAAATCAACTTTTTAAAGGATCTTACCATGAGAATATGGAAGAGAACAGGTAATAAATTAACGATCGGGACTAGGAACAGTGGTATTAAGCAAGCTACACAAACCTGCAATTTTTTGCCCAAAAAAAACAGAAAATCATATTAAGAAAAGGGTATACATAATTAATGGAAATTCAACTAAAGATTTTGATTCTTACCATTTTTTTTAAAGATTTGTTTAAAAAAAAATTACTTTTTTCCTTTGTGTTCTTAGATTTCTGGTTTGTTTTTGTGTGGAGAAGAAGATGACCTTTGTTTACTTTTCCGGGTCAAAGAGTCGACTTTTTGAAGGAGATCCAATAGTCGGGTCGGGTCGGGTTGACCCATTTAATATTTTTGTGAAAAATATTTTATTATAAGTTATTATTTTTTTGAAACTAATTTTTTCGTTATATTATATATGTTAGTATAAAGATATTTTGCCATAATAATTAGATTAATATTTGATCAATTTTAGACGAAATTTATTTACTCTTCCACTTGTTTTTTATTCTTTTTTCCTTTTTTGGTGAAAGAAATTTAATTTTAATTTATTCGATTAATGTGTATATTTCATGGTTTTTTAATTAAATATTATTTAAATTATATGTGTAATTATTTTGTTATTCAATTTGAGGTGTTTATTTTACATACTTTATCAATTTCTTTTTATTTAAAATCCATTCAAATATGTATATAGTTGTTTAATTGGTTCACTTGACGTGTATATTTCATATATTTTCACGATTTCTCTTTACTATTTTTTTAAAAAAATTCTTTTTTACTAAAAATAATATTTAAAATATAAATGTAATTATTCAATTATTTTGTTTGACGTGTATATTTCAAATACTGATAGTTCATTTAGATTATATGTGTAATTATTTAATTAGTTTATTTAACATTTATATTTCACATATTTCCTCGATTTCTGCTTATTAATTCAAATGAACTATACATCCTTTTTACGATATCATACATTTAGTATTTGACGAAGAGTAAAATTTCATAATAATTTTTTTTATATATTTGAAACGAGAGTCTATCGAAAAATTGTTTTTATATAAGTGCCATTTTTATCATGCCTTTTGTTTATAGTAAAATGAATAGTTAAAAGGCGTTTCAATTTGCGTATTAAAGAGAGTGTATTCCCTCCAAAAAAAAATTCCGGCACTCACTTTGTACCCAAAATTGAGCAAAATTGGGGAAAAAAAGGAGAGCTGAAGCGGTGCATAATTTAACGGCAATGGCCGGCGGCAGTGTAGTTACAGATCGCGATTACGAGAGGTTTCTCCGTCGAATTGGCGCCGGCGGCGCCGACGTGAGTGAACTCGTCGCCGGTGACATTATTTTGTTAGAAAGAGAGGAAGAAGAAGAGACGGAGGAAGACGAAGAAGATGAAGAAGAAGAGGAGGAGGAAGAGGAGGAGGAGGAGGAAGAAGAAGAGTCGAGTAATGGAAGGAGGACGTTGCGTAGGGTTTTGTATGGAGATCGTGGTGCTGCGAGAATTTCATCTCCAGAGCGGGTGATTAATGTTGATAATTTGGATAATTCTGCTGTGGAAAGTGGAGATGATACAAGTAGGAGCAAAGGAGAGGAAACGGCGTCGCAAAATGCTGATAAGGAAGAAGGCGGTGTAGGAGAGGAGTGGAATCGAAGTGAAATTGATGGATTGTTTTGTTCTATATGCATGGAAGCTTGGACAAATGACGGTGACCACCAAATTTGGTCAGTAATTTACTTCCTTGTACTTCAATGTAGATAAATTTTTTAAATCATGATGAACATCAGTAGCAAACAACCATGAATGAATACACTATCTACTCTCTTGAATTTAATTTGGAAATTGGAACAGTATTGATTTTGAAAAAAAATTAGTTGTACATATTATAAGATTTTATACATAGCTAGGGATTGCAGATTACAGTTTACAATAGTAATGTTGAGTTCCGGCTTAGCATAACTGAATGTGCTACGCCTGTAACTGTAAGTGAGTGTAGAACCATCTACATTCAATAGTGATATAGACGAAAAGAAGCCTCAGGTGTATGATATAGCACAAGGTATGTTGTTTTTGTTCTATTTTTTATTTGTTCTCAAAATCTTTGAAAATAGTGTTTTAAAACCTTCATCTTTTTGTAAAAAAGAAAAAAATCAGTTTAGTTCAACGTGTAAAAGGGAAATAAGATTTGTAAAACAGCGTTTTTTTTTTTGAGAACTTGAGCAAAGTGCTATAACCTCGAAAGAAAAATTAGATGTTGTAGAACATTTCTGTTTAGTTTTCCTTGAAGATGAAAAAAAATTCATACTAAATTAAGGTCAGTGGGTTCTGTTACAAAATTTAGGAGTTTGTTTCAATTGGCTTGATTGTAATACACATTCATGCAAATTCGAATGAATACTACATGGCTGGCTGGCACATGTCTCCTTATGGATTGAAAGGAACAAAGATGTTTTGATGGTGGCTGTAACACGTCTCCTCAAGACAACTTTAGTGATACTATAGATGTCTTTTATATATATGTAGCTGGCCCAATGTGTCCCTTGTATATTCCTCTAACAAAAATTTTCACCCTATTAACTCCTTGGTTTTAGAATGGCTATGTATGCAAATAATCTAATTCAATATCTTTCATAGCCTCGACCATACTACTGTTTTGCATCTTCTTGATGCTTTCAGTGAAGCTTTTTTACTTCATCTAAAACTATCATCCCCTCCCTATTGAAGCACTTGGTTTTCTGTTCTTTTGACAAGTGACAGTTGAATGATCATGGTTCACATCCTACAAATGATGCATAAACATAGAGGATGAATTGGTGGAAGGTTGTTTGATTTTGTTTGTGGATGTTCTGCATACCGTGCATTGGTTAGTAGGTGGAAAAATATCATGATTAAAGGTATCAAAATGATATGAAGTAAACCTAAAATACACGGAGAGCAGTTGTCGCTAAAGTCTTATCATCTCTTGAAATCAATGTGGTTAGAGCTAAAAACATAAAAATGTAAATAAAAGACTCATACAACTAATTAAAATTATGGTTAGAGAATTGCATTTTTGTAATCATGTCATCAATTATATTAGTAAAATGGCCTAATACAAGTATACCAAAAAGTAAAGAGCCTGCAAGGCTACAACGCTGCATGATTCTCTACAAAAGACACCCAATCCTCTATACAACCCGGGCATGTTACCCGGCACTAAATGGGTGTGCCAAAAATCCCTCTTATTTCTCTATCCAAATGATCCATATTAATGCTAAATGAACGACATTCCAAGCTCTACACTTTCTCCTCCTTCTTCCAGTTCTCCAGCACAACAACATTTCTTTCACAGATCTAGGCATCAGCAAAGTTAGATACTTACATGTCACTGTAGAGATAAGTTTGGTATTTCACAGAATTTTTAGTTTGAGAGAATTTCCTAGTTGACGCATAACATGACTTATTTTAGTAATGTAATGATTCTTGACCCAAATAAAGTTCAACATATATTGATAATCCGTACAGTTGACCAAACTAGTGAAGTTGAGGTTCAGCTGATTGATTGATAGATATATGACTTATAATTGAAAATATATATTTCAAGTGTTAATACTTCCGTTGTCTTCCGGTGTCTAATCTTTTGCAGCTGTCTTCCTTGTGGGCATATATATGGTTTGTTGTGTATCAAAAAGTGGTTGAAACAAAAAGGAAGGTTAGGAAAGGTATTTCTTATAATAATTTGGTCCTTGTTTTATACAATATTTGAAGATCCTGTTTCAGTTCATCCTTCACATTCTTTCTTTTGTGCTTTTGCAGTGCCCCCAGTGTAATAAGAAATGCACAGTGAAGGGTATTCGAGTACTTTATGCTTCTCGACTTCATGCTGTTGACGAAGAACTTCAAAAGGTCATAATTTGACGCTTATATCTTGAGAGTTGCTCCATGAGATACTGATCGAACTCCTTCCTCTTTTGCAGAAAATTAGGTCTCTTGAAGCCAGTTGTTTTTCTCTTGAAAAAGAGGTGAGGAATAATGAAGGTTTTAGATTTAGTCAGTGCAATCTCCTGATAGAATTCAGGTCTAACATCTAAATGAATATTCACAGTGGAGACCTTCAAGGTTTTCCATGTAACCTACACAAACTACTTGAGGAAAACGTATCAGACTGACCTAACCGACTCGCACACACCTTAAAAAAAGAAATAAAAACAATAGGACGATGGTTAGATGGTTATCTTTTCGCGCCTTCAGGTTAGATTTTCCTTTGCTCAATTTAAAAAGTATTAGTGCAGTTAAAGATATTTGTTAGTTTTCAAATGGACAAACTTGCTCAAGATTCTATAAACTTGACGTATATTTGTGGAAACTTCTTATATAGTTGGTATATGTTAGGGCAGTTTCTCTCAGTTTCTTAGTTGGAAACACAAGGAGAAAGATGATTATCAGTGAAGAAGTTGCATTAGCTTTTGTAATCATCTAAAATCAAACAGAAATATATAAGATAAAAATAATCCCTTCCGTCATAATGTTTCAACTGTACCAAAAGGGAAAGAATAAATGCCTTGAATTGGAGAAGAAAACCAAAACTTTTGTTGCGCTTACCTTACTCTACTTTGTACCTTCTTCACTATGCAAATCCAAAATTGTTTGCTTTTAACAACTAGCTTCTTTTCTCTCTGTATGGGTATTCAAGTCATCTGTCACCTTATGCTTTGTTGGGTAGCAAATTCACTCTGGGTTAGCTGCAGCAATGATACTTCTGCTCTAACCTGACTTTTGAAAGCAATTTTCTCAGCTCTTTGGAAATGCTATTACATTTTTCCTTACATGTTCTCATGGTGATTATAAGACCACATTGAATATGTGCAGTGCACTGATTGGTGTAAGAAAGAAATTGAGTGGAGGAGGAGAGAAGCCGAGTTACATAAGCAAGTGGAGCACCTCAAAGAGGTAAGTCTCACCTTTTGTGCTATTTCTTCTGTGCTTCTTGTTTGCACCAGCCTCCTTCAATTCATCTATTTAGTTTGGTTGGTAGTATAGGTTTCTTTTTTTGTTTTTTCGGGTGGGTGGGTAAGTGGTGGATTAAATTAAATCATTTCCAGAATCACTTCTCCGGTTTGTTGGGTGTCCCCCATGTGTATTGCACTTTTTAAGTGAAATTGTTGCTAATATAACACCCATTGTAAATTTTGTTTAAGCTTTTATTGATGGTCTACAGATCTAGCTGATTTTGCCTACTTCATCCATATTTTTACTTATGGCTTTTCCTAGTTTGAAAATTCACCCCTTTACTAAATTAGTTGCATACCTCTTCCTGGAGGACCAGATTGACTTCGGTGCATT